AGAACAGAAGGGATGAAATTACAGTACATACTGACCTTCACACCATCACATGCCCACACAGATGCTGCATAGCTTCATTTCAGAGGAATCTCACCAGATTGTACACTTAATTAAACTGCTTTAATTAAACCTTGCTGTGCTTCACAGATAAATCAGGCCTCTAAATTAGATGTACTCCAATAGCGATCAAAATTGCAAGTATTAAAGGGGTAGTAGCTCACCCAAAAATGTCTTTCTTCTGCTGAACACAAAAGAAGATATTTTGAATAATGTATGTAACCAAACAGTTTCTTGTCCCCATTGACTTCCATAGTATTTTTTTACATACAAGTCAATGGTTACCGTTAACTGTTTGAGTATCCACATTCTTCAAAATATCTTCTTTTGTGCTCAACAGAAGAAGAACAAACTCATACAGGTTTAGAACAACTTGAGAGTGATTAAATGATGGCAATTTCCATTTTTGGGTGAACGATCCCTTTAAAAAGACAGAATACCTAACATCACAAATAGAACTGGGCAGTATAATGAATAACAATAAAATATGTTTGGCGATGAGGTAAAATTAGCCTCCATTCTAAATCACAATCACAACTTTCAATGTTTTTTTTGTAACTTTTTGCTCACTGTGAGTAAAGCATGGAGGTGTAGGGCTGCACGACATATCGAAATTATCGAAATATCGCAAATGTAAATAATCGCAATATGCATATCGCAATGGCGTGCGACATTATTATTTGAATAACAGGCTACTTAAATCAAAACGTTGCAAAAGGTCAAAATTTTAGTTTGACGCATATAGCAGAGAATTGTTTGACGTTAAAAATAGTTAAGTGCAATAAGTTGCAGAAAACAACTCTGTCGTCTCCTCTTGCTATCTGACACACACCTGAAGCATGCGCACAAGCCCTCTTCACTTCTGCTGCACACGTGCAAAGCACGCGCGTGCACACACACAAAGAGACACATTTCAGACAGAGTTGATTCGTCTTTCGCATCTCCTCCTTATGTTTGAACAGACACATACACACAGAATTAATTTAATTCATACAGTGAACACTATGCAGTGTTATTTTACACTTAATTATTACATTTCTTTACCTGAATACTACTGTTTATTTTATCTATGCTTGTAAATTGTGTATTTCTTTTTTTTTTACTGACTGTTCTCAGACTATAGTTTTTGCTGTGGTATATGAAGAAGTAAAAGTGTATGGAAAGCAAAGTTACAATGATATAAAATTAGTGTCATTCATTTTTTGTTTGCATGTTCACATTGATGTTAAATTACATTACTTTTTATGTTTTAGCATTACATTACTTTTTATGTAATGCTAAATCACTGCTGGTCACTTTCAGAAGTTGTAGTGATTCTTTATTTTCCAAGAAAAAAAACGAATTGGTTATATAATTTTCATTTTTTAATTATTTAAAATAAAATTTAAATTGATTTTACACACTTTAAGCAATATCGTATCGCATATCGCATTTTTCTTCAATATCGCACAGCCCTAGTTCACATGAGAGGATTTTATTGGCTCAGAACAGCAGATGGATATTTTGTTCTGTTAATTACGGAGAGCAAAAATGTCAAAATGTAACCAATGGAGTTTTGCCAGTTTTTCTAGCAAAAAAAATTAGACAAAGTCCAAATCAACAAGTCTCCTATTTACACGACTGTTCAAAATTTGGGCTCGTGAGATTTTTTTTTAAATGTTTAATGACTTGAAGACTGCGGTCCACAAACGCTCACCATCAAATTGAACTGAACTTGAGCAGTTCTGCACAGAAGAGTGGGCAAATATTGCAAAGTCTAGATGTACAAAGTTAGTAGAGACGGAGACAAATCCCAACAGACTAAAGGCTGTAATTAAAGCAAAAGGTGGTTCAACAAAATACTGACACAAGGAGGTGATCCTTTCTCCAACTCGGTGATTCTGATTTTTTTTCTCTGACATGTTGGTGTTCTATCTTTCACTTGGATGTTATAAGCTGCACTGAGTAAATACAGCTGGATAAAACAAAAACTGTGTCTGTCTTCATTTCAGGCTGCAAAGCAACAAAATGTGATTATTTTAAAGGGGGGCGATTATTTTCTATACCCACTGTACATGTTGCTAAATTAAAACCAGAATAATCCTTTCTAGCTTAATCCATTCTGGCTTTGTTAGAGATTCAGACTGTAATAACTATGTTCCAGTAAATGTTTTATGATGCATTTCAGACTGTGAGCTGATTTTGTATGTAGTTTTAACCCATATTCAGTGTAAAAAAATAAAATAAAACAAAAAAATTAATTATTTTTTAAATTACTTTAACAGCTGTTTCAGTTTAGGATTTTTAATGGATACCAAAAAGTAAAAAAAAAAAAAGTGGCTTCTGACATATTTGGACATTACCTGTCGTGCTTAAAAACAATGGAGTTCAATATTTCCCACAAAGTGTAAGTGTATTGCATAAGTTTGGATACTCAGTAAGACAGCAGGACATTCAGAATTAGCAATCTGCATTTTTGTTAAGTGGCCACTGAGCCAATGTGCCGCCCATTCCTGGCCCCCCACAC